TTTCATCTTCTTCCATTCATTTATCTTCATTTCACCTTTTCTTAGTAGGACATTTATCCTTCATTTTTATCATCATTATCATTATCTCACAATAACTACATCATGTAACACCCTAAATTTTGGGATAGTAGTTTCGGGTTTACCGAGATGTATGTGAGCCTCATGGAATTCATAATTATAGTCGTTGGGCCAACTGTGAGATAAATTGGGTTAGAATTGAGCTCAATTTCCATTAAAAAAAGGTTTTTGAATTGTATAAATATGAGATTGGACCAAAAGCATAATTACCCTATTTTAAAGGATGAGAGCTTTTGTCTGTCTCATTTCATCTTCTTCCATTCGTTTCTTCTTTTTCCTTTCTCCACCTTTTCTTCTTCATTCTTCCACCCAAGTACCATAGCTTAAAGGTAAGTTCTTGAGTCTCTTTTCATACTTAAATTTCAGTCCTAATCCCTCCAACAACATCATTTTAATGATTTAAAGCCTTAGGTTCTTTGTTTGCAAGAAAAATGTGGGTTTTATCATCTAAGTCTTGGTGGAGAGTTATTGCTAGCTATAGGAGCTTTATTTTGGGATTCCTTGACCAAGATAGTGTATTTCTAATCCTTTGGAGTGTTAAGGCTTTTATAAGCATGATTATTTGTTGAGATTTGGGTATTTGAGCATTTTAGAGTTTTATACTTGATTCATGGCATAGATGACAAATTTGACGTAAAGCACATGTTTTTTATGATAGTTTAAGACCCTAATTAACTTCCTCAAGCTTTAACATATGATTAGGAACTAATCTAGGGCCTTTAGAGTATTTTTGTGTGTTTTCCAAGCTTAAATAAGACATATCTGAGTTCGAGTATCGATATTGGATCAACAATATTGATATTGGATGATTTAGGATGAAATTTAGGGTTTCAAGCAAGGAGTATCAAAACTGCTAGGGAGAATATCCATACTACCCCTATAATATTGATACTCAGGGTGTATAGTATCGATACTAGGCCATATTTTTAGCAACATAAGCCATTTTGGTATCGATACTGCAAGTACAATATCGATATTATATACTTTGGATGGTTAGTTTTGACCTTTTTAAGGCTCGTAAGAGCTAAAGATGATCTGTAATGGTATAACTTAGTCCATTATGGATGTAAATAACAAAGGGGCCGAAAACACTCGTAGGAGTGGATTACAACTAAAGTAAACATAGGAGGTGTAATACATTCAAGTACCTTCAACCGAGCATGTAGCAAGTATCTAAGAATGAAGGATCGCTGTAGATGATGTACCGAAAAGCGGTATGATGAATATATCATATTAAGAAATAGTACTGATATATACTACAAGAGGCCAGTGAATGGTGAACATATAGTTATCACTCAAATTCAAGGATAAATTGAGGGGAAAACATAGTGATAGTTACAAGAGTGTCGCTACTCAGTATTGAACACGAGTCGAGCATCAGGCCAATAAATAATTTAGTAAATGAATAGTAGAATCAATATCATCGTAAAATCATGAAACACATATAGACAAAAATAACTAAAACACCCTTATGTGCTAATGACCATAATAGAGAAACTTAATAAATTATCAATAATTGACATACTAATAAACCTTCACATAATGTTCTAGATGAGAGAACGAACGAGATAATAGCTAGTGAGGGTTGTCCTGACTTTAGTATGTCGAGCTACACTAGTGTGTAGTTAGGCTACCTCAATTGCCCTAGTAGGGAATTGTTAGTATTGTGTGGCCTTTGGACCCTCAGATATGCATGTGTAGTTGTATCAGTCTAGTACAGTATAGACCCTTAAAGCTTGGGTTGACGGCTATGTGAGACTGAACCAATGCTTCAGTTGAGCTGGAATTGTACCAATGCTATGTGACATAGGGTTCCCCTTCATGATCAACTTGATGGCTATGTGAGACCAGGAGATCATTCAGCAGCTTAGTTAGAATTTCACTAACGTTATGCGACACTGAATTCTCTCAGTTAACTAGTGTCTAATGGCTATGTTAGACCAGATACTAGTAGCGTTGAATTCAAACAATGCACATCAAAGTCAATGTTGCATTCAGATAATGCACAAGAGTGTCAGTGTCACATTTAGATAATGCATAGCAGATACAATTATTAAGGTTAGAGACCCTTTAGAGGTGTACTCATGGTGAGGCCCTTTAAAGGTATTAATTAATCGATAAATTAATATTATTAATTTAAAGAGATTTTTTCGATTCAATGGACCTATATTATTCTTTATGAATAAAAAATATACATTATATTAACTAATTTAATGATGCTCATGTATAATGTGACTAATTAAATATAATACATACCTCTAAGAAAAACAAAGTTCATTACTAGTTAAAACTTAATGCAAGTTCATGTAAGGTAAGAAAATCAACCACTATATAAACAACATCAAATATTTATAATTTCTCAGCTTGTTATTTGAACACATTCTAAAATGAAAATCGATGGAAATTATACTCCAAATATTGAATAAAAATAGTGAAAATAATCGTGTTTGGTTTTCAAGAAAATTTGAACACAAAACATGGTGTTTCTTTTGTATTTTAGCCAAGAAAAATAGAAAGTGTGTCTCCAAAACGTAGTCAAGAATTACTGCGTTAGCTGTCAAAGGAGGAAAGCCTAGACAATAAGTTAATTTTTTTTTACTAAAATTTTATGGTATTTGGAATTGTACTTTTAGTACGGTAATTTAATTAGGATAAATTAATCTAAAGTTAATTAAATACTTTGTTAACTGAGTCTATAACCCTTCCTTCAAGCCATTATAAATTAATAATCTATTAATAATCTTATGAAAAATAGAAAAATACTCTTTTTATTCAAAAATAAAAATGATTTAATCTAAATTAAAGGAATTAAAACAAGTTGTGGTTGTTAGAACTGAATTATCTCCTCTGCCGGTGATTAAATTAATCAAATCATAAAACTTATTAATGGTGATTTGATCCAGACTATCATTCAATTAATAAAATTTATTTATGTTTAATTAAAATAAATGGAGCCTGGCTGGCAAATAATGTCTAAGCCGCCCGGCCCCTTTGCCACAAATTTCATGCAAAGGTTAGGTGACATATACTACTTTTTCAAAGCAATCAAATCCATTGGGAAATATGCAATTATGTTACGCCTTGTAATAAAATTTTTTATCATAATTAATTTCAAATTGAATGAGGTTGGATTTGGTCTAATTTTATTGGGTAGTTTTTTTTTTTAAAGTTAAGTCTGGGTTGTATTTTTTAATTATGAATTCAGCTCAGATTAGGTTAATGTCTAGAGTAAAAAATATCCGACTTGATCAAGAAACATAATATAATTGTATTTTATATATTTATAAATAATTACAATAATACCTCTCTTTTTTGCTGATTGTGTTATACTTTTTTTCTAGGCTTAGGGTTAAGAATAATATAATTATATATAATTGTGTTGTACTCTTTTCTTCTGATTGAGCTTAGATATGTTTTTAACAAGGCACACGTTCTAGATTAATCTTCAATATAATATTACTTTTCCGAGCAAAAAAAAATACGCCTCCATATTTTTTTCAATTATATCTCTATCTTACAAAATAAAATTAAGGATTATAAATATATTTATGTTGGATATGATTGGATTGGGTGTGAATTTTAGACGAGTCGAATTTCGGGTTAGTTAAATTACATTAAACTCGAATCCGATTGAATTATAAATTAAAGATGTGTTTTTATCGGGTCATATCAAGTTAAATTAAATAAGATCAATGGATAAATGAGTCAAATGTCGATAATTATATTAAAAATAAAAAAATATTTTAATTATAAAATAGAATATGGATTATACTAATTGTTGAGAGTTTTCAAATTTTGCTAGTTAGAACAAGTGGCCAGTTGAATGTTCGAACTAGAAGGTTCATGATATGATGTGTGTAAATGTACGAATATACCCACATATTATTTTCTTCATTAAATTAATATAATGTTGATTATACTCAAAAATATATTTAAGAAATAATAATATATTTAAATTGACGAATAAAGATATTTTCGACATAATTGTTTAAACATTCTAATACTTTATATATTTTTAAGAATTTTAAATTTTAATATTTTATAATTCTAATATTTATATTTTAAATATTTTTATATTTTAAAATTCTTTACTTTCTTAATTTTTTCTTAAAAATTAAATATATGCTCAATTTTTTTAAAAAAAAATTGTACTTTTAATTGATTAAAAATTAATTAAATTTATCTATCACATCATATTGATATATATATGATACGTATAAAATCAACTATGAGACTAATAAATTTAAATTAAATTGTATATCCTATTCGAGACACCATTACTTTATTCCCTGCTTGGCTACCAATTTCAACTCAAGTTGCCAACTTCAAAGATTCTCCCAATAATATAAACTATGAATCTTAACCAGTTGAAACTTTCCTTTTCCTTTTTATTTTACTTTTTTACAATTTTAAATTAACCTCATGATGTTTACAAGGTCAAAACAAAGTCTATATAAAGCAAGTGAAGAGGGTGGCTAAGAGCATAACAAAACTAAGCCCAGCTTTGTAGTAAACATGGGGAAAATGGGGTCTTCAATGACCTCTCTCTTTCTTTCTGTCTTAATCTTAGCAGTGTCTTTTAGCTTGCCTTTTGAAATCTCAGCTGATCATACTTATTCCTCACCTCCACCTCCTCTTGAGAAGTACCCACCACCACCCTATCATTACAAGTCATCACCACCTCCTCCTCCCAAGGAGGCATACAAGTACAAATCTCCTCCTCCACCAACCCCTGTTTACAAGTATAAGTCTCCACCACCTCCGCCGGTGCATTATCCTCCACCACCTTACAAGTCTCCACCTCCTCCCCCCAAGGAGTCATACAAGTCTCCACCTCCACCTCCTCCAGTTTACAAGTACAAGTCTCCTCCTCCTCCTAAGGAGTCATACAAGTCTCCTCCTCCTCCCAAGGAGTCATACAAGTCACCACCCCCACCCCCACCAGTCTACAAGTACAAGTCTCCTCCTCCTCCTCCTAAGGAGCCATACAAGTACAAGTCCCCACCTCCTCCGGTTTACAAGTACAAGTCTCCTCCTCCTCCCAAGGAACCATACAAGTACAAGTCACCACCACCACCTCACCACTACTAAGTTATGGTTGTGATCGTACTCTAAGGTAACATACATTAGAATCTCGTTTTCCATCTCGTCAAGATGCATTATTTCAAATTGTTTTCAACGTTTTGATCTTTAAACAGCACAATAAAGAAAACAAGGGTTTTTCTTTTGCAGGAGAAGAGTGATTCAAATAAAGCAACAAAATATGGTTTGAACAGATATATAGAGAGGACGTGGAGATGAAAATCAGGAGCCCAGCTTAGTCTCCGCGTCTGAAGTTAATGATGTAGACAGATTTGTATTCGGCAATGTATTGTCCAGTGCGCTCACCTGTTTTAATAATAAAAATGAATCCTTATGTAACTGTGGATGTGTTTTCCAATTATTTTACGAATGCATGGATTTGTTGGCACTAAAAATAAAGTCCTTTTATAAATAATGCTCCACAAATTTCTTTATGTATTGCCTAAATCTAAACATATTTAATTTTAAGGTCCCAATTACTCGTTATAGAAGTGATCTCATGAAGCACTTGTCGAAGAAGATATGTTCATATAAGTTGTATTAAGTCCTGAGTTAATTTAGATTTGATTCTGAATTACCAAAGATCATCAAAAGATCTAAAATGCATATTTTTATTCGCTTTGTCCGAAAACGGTACGACAATTCATTTAGCGAAGCTAAGGTTGTCAAGGCCAGAATTCTTTTCTGCATATGGTGGTTATAGTTCAAGCCTATTAGAGGAGAAGTTGTTGATTGTTTGCAGGATTGTCCTAACGTTTTTTTTTCAAAACGAAAATGATTTTATTTTTAAGATAAAAATTTTATTTTTGAAAATTTATTTATTTAGAAATAGATGTATTTCAAACTCACCATCGACCTTTGGGGTTAGGTAGGTCGAATACCTAAAAAATGTCTTTTAAAAACAATTTAATAAAGAATCATTTTTAAAGACAAATTGATCTACGTTTACCAAAAATTCATTTTTTAAGGGATTAGAAGTTGGTTACGCGTGGGGAAGGGAAAATACCCCCACAATGTCCAATACTGGTACCTAATCGCTTATGTTTCCTTGTTGTTATGAAAATTAAAAATGCTTAACTCAAAAATTATCTCATGATTTATTTTATTTTTTATCAATTAATTTGTTTCTAACTATAAGGAATATTCCCTATTTTTAGAAGAGATCACAATATTCACATGTCCTCCAATGGGAAGACTTTCCCATCTACCTCTTCTATATACAAGAATATTTCCTTTATTATATATTTGGGTCTCACATTAAGCATGAATCGAATATAAAATAAAATTAAAGTAATATGTCAAATAAACAAACACATTGTCATCATTAAAATAAAACAATTATTATTTCATTTTTTATTAAAGTATACTCGATTATTTTCAAGTTCCTTTCATTCGAATTCCGTATTGAATTTTACTAGCTCGATAGGTTGCACTTTCCACCCCATTCTATAAAGTGCGTTCTTGAAAATTGATATGAACATTAGTGATTACTATTAACTAATCTAAGGATTTTTTTATCATTTTTAATGAAATATTTAGAATACGTGTCATATGAGTACTTAACAAATTAAATTTAGCATCTATATTAAGTAGGTAGAACTAATGGAATAAATCAGAACTAGGGCATAACTATAGGGACTTGTAGGTAATAAATTCATTTTATTTCACATAGTAATCATGTTAATCTGTGACCATAACAGATATTCAATAAACCTAGGAGGACCTAAAGCATGAATATTACATTTTCTAATGCATAACGAGTTGAGGATAAAACTTATTGAATCTAAAATTTAAGGACCAAGTTAAATATTAGGCCGAAGGTTTAAGGATTGAATCCAATATTTACCCTAAAACACATAAAACATGCATAATGGCTAATATGTAAACAGAATAAAACTTGAAGTTCAAACTAAAATTAACACAACATTCATTTAGTGACTAAATTAAAAAATTACAAAGCATGAATGACTGAGAAGTGAATTAACCTAAGCGCTAAATCGCACACTTATTCCCCCTATACGGTGTCATTTGATGTAGGGTATATAACCCTAAAATCAGGACAAAAATGGTCATTTTTCTTTCATTTTATCACTTCATCTCTTTTGCTAAAAAGAGAAATATTTCTCTAAAATTGTCCCCACTCTTCCTCCATCCCTTTGCCGTGAGAAATGAATTGACTCCTAGTCGACCACCACGAACGACGATTCTGACGGCGACAACCTCCTTAAATCATCTCCCCATAACCCCTAGAGCCTAAAAACATGTTATTCTAAACCTAAATGACTCTTAAACCTTTCAAAATCCCCAAAATAAAACCCCCCAAACATCCTTTTTTGTGAGCCCTAGGACATATCCCCTAGATCTACAACATGCAAGGCCTTTACCTTTGACGAAAGCGACTTTCTTACTCTGGTGAGAGAGACCAAACACTCGGATAGTGAGAATTTCCTTTTTCTTCTTTTTTTTGTTCTCCTTTTCGTCATTGATTCATTTTTTTTTACATATTTTAGGTTGGAAGTTAAAGAGAGAAAAGTATCTGATTTTTTGTTTGTTTTCTTTCTATTTTCGACTTTGGGTGCTTTAACCATGGAGGGTAATCCAACGCTCTGAGCAGGCGACGATGACGTGAGTGAAAAGACGGGTAAATATTTTTACCTCGGGTCCTTTTGGTCATTCTCTGTGGTGACCGATGATATCTCAGTGGAGTTGACATAAATGACTTACACGCGAAAAAAACAACGTTGCATCTGGGGTCGTTGGATCAGATATGATCCAATGGTTACGGCCTGAGCGACGGCGCAAGCTGATGATAATTTAGGGTAAAACCCTAACTGATGATGAATCCAAGTTATTGGATTCTCCAATTCTAATGGTTGCGAGGGAGTGGTGGCTGGGGTGCTTCACTAGGGTTTGGTAAAATCCTAGAAATGAGCAAATCTTAGCCATCTGATTGCTCTCTAACCTGACGACAGGGGTCGCGCGGCTCTAAGAGTAGAAGGATGAAACCCTAACCTCTTTTCTCTCCACATGTGGGTTGCAGCTGGGCTTCTATCAATTCAGGCTAGGGTTAAATGGGTTCGTTTATTTGTTGATGGGTTGTGAAAGGTGTGGATTACTTTTTAATTTGGACGTCATTGGTTTTTTAGTAACATTTTTTATATAATAATAAAAATATAGTTGAATTGCTCATCTTTGCTTATTGGCAAGCAACGACAATAGTGCAAAGTCGTAAAACACCAATTTTATATCTTTAGACTGTCAACAAGTCTCGATCTCCAAGTTCTTGTCATTATGAACTTATTCTTCTTTGGATGAGCTCTTCTTATATGAACTTCATTGGAAATGTTGATCCACCTCCTTCTGTGATGGATAAGCCAAGGTTGAACAAGTTCTTCTCATTAGGAACTTCTTCTCCCTTATCGAATGAGCTCTTCTCATTATGAACACTTCCATTGAAAATGTTGATACACCTCCTTCTGTGATGGACGAGCCAGGGTTGATTAAGTTTTTCTCATTAGGAATTTATTCTCCTTTATCTGACGAGTTCTTCTCATTATGAACCCTTCCATTTCAAATGCTGATTCACCTCCTTCTATGATGGACGAGTCAGGGTTGAACAAGTCCTTCTCATTATGAACCCTTCCGTCAGAAATGTTGATTCACCTCCTTCTATGATGGATAAGTCAAGTTTGAACAAGTTCTTCTGTTGAAAACATTTTGATATTTCGATATAACAAATTAAGTTAAATGAATTTTAAGATTTTCCAAAAGATTTTCTGAGTATATTCGATATAATTATTCGAATATCAAAATATTACTCCAAATCTTTCAAATGTCATTTTTAATCCTTACTCAAGTGTAAAATTAAGTTTTAATCTTAAAATAATTTCAAAACAATTTTACAAAGTATTTCAAACCATTTCAAGCCAAAAATTCCAGATTGTCCAGAGGGAACCGATTCCCCCCCCCAAGGGGGTACCGATTCCCCTTGAATGGTTTGACTCTGAGAAAAACAGAATGCTCGGAGGGAATCGATTCCCCCTGATCAATAGTCGAAATATTTGAATTTTACATTTAGGGAATTGATTCCCTATGAGGGGGTATCGATTCCCCCACGCTCCAAGATGTTTTATTAATTGATTTCACACTAAAACGGCTCTATTGACTCCACTAAGCATCCCCAACGTCTAGAATCATTTGAAGGTGTATTTAAAAAGGCTTAGAAGCCATTGATCAACAACAAGGAAACACAAGAAATAAGAATCAAGAGATAATCAAAGAGAAAGCATCAAACCTCAAGTTTGAGCATTTCAGGCCTATTTTTCATTCAATATTCATTTTGCTTTCAAGAACACTACTTGTACTCAATTGTATTCATTTTTTAGTGTTCTTTTCTTTGTTCTAGAATTTTGCAAACAATATACCTTGTGAGGATTTCCTTGTAAGTTTGCAAATTTGTAATCTTCTATTTGAGAAAGAGTGTTCTCAAGAATTGGGGTATATTCTTGAGGGAGTTGTAAGGTTGTCTCTTTGGCCTCAAAAGAAAGAACAAATTAGTAAATTTGTTGGAAAATCCTTAGTGTGGATAACTAAGGTAGTGGACGTAGACTTTGGTTGAGAAAGTCGAACCACTCTAAATCTCTGTACAAATCTTTTCAATTTTCTACAAAAGCTTTCACCAAAATTTTAATTGCCAATTCACCCCCTCTTGGCCAATTCCATCGATCAATTAACTCAACAATTGGTATCAGAGCCTCACTCATTTGAAGGTTTAATCGCCTCTTGAGTCGATTCGGGAAGAGTTATATCGATTATCAAGTCATCAATGGCCTCTACTTCAAATGTCGACTTCGGTCTCGATTTGATGCCCATCAACAAGCCTCATTTCTTCAATGGAGCTAACTATGCCTATTGGAAGAATAGGATGATGTATTTCATTCAAGAAAGTGACATGGGAGCATGGAATATTGTATAAGATGAATATATCAAGCCTCTCACTCATTCAAGATTGTGGAGTGAATGAGAGACAAGAATGTTCCAGCTCAACTCCAAAGCCATCCATATCATATTTTGTGCTCTTGGAACAGATGAATATGGAAGAGTTTCATCTTGTACAACCGCCAAAGAAATATAGGATAAACTACAAGTCACTCATGAAGGCACCGACGAGGTAAAAAAATATAAAATTAGTCTTCTAACACATAGCTATGAAAATTTCAGGATGAAACCAAATGAAGATATCAAAGCTATGACGGATAGATTCT